AAGACATGAATTAATATATAATAAATCTATTATTATTATTATTATTATTGTTGTTGTTGTTGTTGTTGTTGTTATTATTATTATTATTATTATTACTAATAATAATAATTGTGTTCTGTGCATACACAGAAAATCAGAAATGTGAATTTTGATACATGATTCTATACACAGCCTTCTGACAAAATACCAGCCTCCTCACTTATGACATAATGTGTCTCTATAGTCATACTTTTGTATTTTCTGTATGCCTCAAAAGTAAATGCATGAACTACACATGTAACAAACATTAACACCATTTGTGTTACTACAATACATTCAGTTTTCTGATTTATGTGTCAGAGGCACCACCATAAATCACATGTTATGGTTGCATATTGCTCAGAAAAGAACAGACTGAGTCTGACATAAATACCTATTTTGGATGATGATGATGTATTCCATGGAACCTAAACCAAACTTCTGAACAAAAATTGTCATAACACCCTATAAGAAGATTATATTTTATAGGGGCTTGAATGAAAACTGAAAAATTTTTTCATATTTCAGTAAGTTTGTTCTAAAGCACAGTTAACCAACTCTCAACTTAATCAGATTTGCTGGAGATATTTCACTGCATGGGCCTCTACAGCTAGATAAGAATTTAGGAAATTATTTAAACTCAACCAGCAGACAATATTCCTGAAATATTTTATTTTTAAAAAGTATGTTGTTTTGATATTTACTTTATTGAAGAGAGATGCCTTTTCTTTCAGTACTCTTTCAATGTGATTTACAGCTGTAACTACTTGTTCCTGACCCCCAAGTATTGAGTCTGTTTCTTCTGAAAGTGACAGGTTCATGACCATATGGTACAGCAGCTCTAGCCAGAACTGATTTACAACTGATTCCTCCTCCCGTAACACTGTGTAAACACTATTCAAAACCAAGGCTGCACCTGTAAAGTGAAAATAAACATCCAAATATAAACACACAGCACTTTCCAGCATAAAAAGTTCACTAAATACACAAAATCAGGAACAGGACAGGTATGGAAGTTCCTGCCATTTAGAATAAAACATAATACAATATATCGAGCAACAGAATTGGCATATACTGCTGTGTACTGTAATGGCATTTACTTCAGATTTTTAATTTATTTGAAGAAAAATATATTAATAAAATAGGCATTTTCCTGCTCATTGTGCAACAGTGTTCAAGTTTTTCACTACAGCTCACAGTTGAAAAAATGGGTGCATCACATCTTGTCAAGTAAATTAACTTTCTGCAACACAAAGTACCATACTTTAAACTCAGAAAATATTTTGTGTTTATAACTTCTGAAGAGAGTAAGATTTTCCAAACTGAGAGACAAATGTGTTCTATTTGTACATAAATTTTCAAAACTGGATCGAAAGGAAATCTTGATCTTGATTTGAATATCAATTTTCCAGTTTCAAATAACTGTTTTTGCTTTGCACAGCAGTGTACAAGCTGCCAAATCAACAAAATCATAACAGTTGGCAACGCTATCATAATCAACTGGTCAACAGAATCTGTCATTCTCTCTTCCTCCTGCTCATGGAAAAAAGAAAATTACCCCAGAACTGATTTGTTTATATGCAATGAATTATGAAAATTTTTCATAGAAAGAAGACCTGATATAAAAGAGGCATATGTGGCACAGTCAAGAGGTACCAGGTTCAAATCTTCACTCAGACACTAACTATTCTGATTACTGGTTTCATGGTTTTCCTGTCACTAAAGATAAATGCCAGGATAGTACCTCACATTAGGTCATGACTCCTTCCTTCCATATCATTAATCATCCTATCATTCAACACTACACAGTCTGGGCTACTGTCAATGTAGTACTTTATGGGTAATTTAAGGGATTTTAAAGGGTAATTGCAACTATAAAGAATTTTGGATTGATGCACCATTTTTAGACCATTACTTCCTCATATGATGCAGATAAAATTTTCATTCTCTCAATTCTCAAAAGTTTCCAAAATTTCATCTCAAACTGAAAAAAGCCTTTCTCAGACGTGCCTGATGCTTAAATTAAATACACACACACAAAAAAAAAAGAGAAAGACTTAACAGCCCTTAAGATCATACTGAGGAAGACAATGCTTGTCAAGTTCTCGATACTGTTTCATGAGTTTTTTAGACTTCATCCTTCTGCATTTTGTAAATAATGACAAAGAAAACACTATCACTTATACAGATGCCTTTTTATCTTCCTTCGCAGTGAAACGGGAATTCTAGTAAACAAACCACTTACCTAAGCGCTTTGAAGGACATGGATGCAGACAGAAAGAGTAGATTTGCTTCATTACATATTTAATATTTACATGTGAACCCTGCTTGACAGACCACACTACAAATTCATGAAGACATCTTGCTGAAAAATCCCTCAATGCTGTGTCAGTGGGGTGGGTTATTCCATCCTGCAGTATAAAATAATGTAAACACATTAACATCTACTTTAAATAGAATATAATAGTGACACTTAAAAAGGATTTCTGAAGGCTTAAAATACTGTTTTCTCTCATGGCAGCTCTTTTGGCAAAGGTGTGTCAATTTAAGAGCAGATTACTTTGAAATTATATAATTATTTATTTTTATTTCATATTTTTATTATGTCAGATCAGGAGTATTATGCTACATAATCTTGGCTGTTGAAAGTATCATTAAATAAAACAGGTCATAATTTCCAGATAACACCTCATACAATTTTTATACCTGTCCTCACTAAGGTGGAAGCAATTTTTCTTATAATTTTCTTAGCCTAAGCAGTTGAGCTGCTGTGTATTCACATCATTGTTTAATGATTAGATAGCAGTGTATGTATCCAAGTCACTTCTTACATAGGTTCCAATAAGTTCTCTTTATGATGGCCTAGAGCCTAAGCTTTAAAAAATCAAGGATTGACTGTAATGGCAATATATATTTAAATAACTTGCTCTTTTGTTTACATCTTTTTCTCATATAAGATGTAAAGTAATGACATAGAAATCACATATAATTTGCATATACCTTACAATACAATGGCTACAATTGATGAAACACTGATGCTAAGCATTAGTAATTTGATTTTATGACATAAAATACATGGTGCCCACTCTGTCCAGATTCATGAAAATATGCAAACATGTCACGCATTCATTCCTAAACTTCTTGTTTTAGAATCTTTTTGTGACTAATATAACTAGACAACACTGTTATTATTTGTAGCTTGTAAATCACTTCATCTATAACAAATTTTGTTAAACTCAAAAATGTTAGATAAGAATGAAAATAACAAGCACACACATGCACTAACATTACAGGAAAGTCAGAACATCAGCAACAGTACCACATACCATAAGTGTTTGGATTAAAATTTCTACTTCCTTGCTCTTAAGTTTGAACTTGCTGGAATACCAGTGCACAAGTTGCAGAACTAACAGGTTGTACAACCTATGGATGGCTGGGTCTGGATCACATCCCAACTTCAGCAATGGTAATGACAGCTTCCTAAATAGTTCAGAATACTTATCTGGATGTGAAGTTTGGGCTTCCTGGCCTGCAAATTGAAAATTTACAAAATTACACAATCTTGCAAAAATGTCATATTTATATCTGTATACCCTCCAAACCATATCAAATGACTGGTTCTGCCATGTTATTGTTCAAATACATTAACAACCACTCCCCACAACAAAAGGCCTGAAGCATAATTGTTGGTTATGATCTTTTGAGGTGATCGGTCAATTTCTGGTTTGTTTGCATTGAAAATCTGCAAAAATGAACCTATTGTTAGCTTCGCCATGTCTGTCTGTCTGCTGAATGGATTTTTATGAAAAGTTGATACTGAGAAATTTCACTGATATTTTACACATTCAAATTTGGGTTACAATTGGACAACAATATCAAAAACTTTACATATAGGCTTCTGGAGTGCAACTGAGATTTATTGGAGTGAAAACTGCTTTGGACAGATGTTATGATGAAAAATGAAACAAATATTTTATGTTCAATATATATTTGGTAAGTCTGTTTCTTAACACAATTTAACAAAAGTAAGGGAACATACCAAATCATGACTCTATGCATACAGTTCCAAGTTTGTAGTACAATTGTACTCTTCACAGTCACTCCCATAAAATCACAAATTTCACTTTTTCCAAACTTGTTTTAAAGACATCTGCAGTGTGTATCAGCAGATGGAACTTTGCACAGAACTGTTACTTATCAGAGGCAGGCAGACAAGGTTTCAACATAACAAAGACTATTTCCTTGATTTACTTACTTACTTACTTACTCATGGAGCTGAGCCCTTCTGGAGGAGCTGCCAATTCTGCAGCTATTCAAGAATTTCCCAGCATTTTATGGGACCCGAAGGTTCATTACCGTGTTCACAAGAGCCCTTCACTGGTCCCTATCCTGAGCCAGATCAATCCAATCAATACCATCCCATCCTATCTCTCTAAGATCCATTTTAATATTGTTCACCCACCTACAATTTCCTTGATTATATCTTGAAAATAAAAGATTTCAATGTGCCTATTAAACAATGATAAAAAAAGTGGCAGTTGAAGTAACTGAAGTTGTAGATTCTGTGACACACCCATACATTCATGTTCAAACAGAACACGTGTGGTTTTGAGTCTGGAACTTCTCACTCTTCCTGAAGTTAGAATGGCAAAACATTTGTTTAAAATTTGGTACTTTGGACTGAAAAAAGTTCATTCATCTAAGCAGTTCCCTTATCGGGTGGGGATTGACAATTACTTAAAATTACAGATGTTTTGAATTATCCAATATTAACTAATATTGTATAATGCACCCATGTGCATTATAACCTCTATATAAAATCAAGAAATATAGCTTCTCTGATTTTAATACAAGCAGCTAACGTTGTAATTCTTTAAAGCTAATGTGTCTTCACTATTATACAAACAAAAAATATAAACAGTGACTCAACAATAAGTAAAAACCCTCATCCCAAAAATTAAGACTCTCAGGAATAGAATATAGTAATATATCAACAAGCATAAACTTAGAATGGATAAGTATGGACATGAAATTTGGGCTCATAAAAGTGGTAATGTGGCCCCAAGAGAACGACAAAAATCAAATCCTATAAATACAAGTATAGCACATTAAACATAACAAAATGAGCCAATCCCATATACATTATTCCATAAATCAGAATGTTTGAAATTAATAATTCTCATGTATTTGAATTCATCACAAAAATAATTTACTTACCTGAACCCAAAATAAGCATGACAATACCATGCAATAGTTCACAAGCTGTGAAACGAGTATAGCGATCACTTGATGTCATTGCCAGTTCCACCACTCGAGGAATCAACTTTTCTGTAAAGTATAGATCAAAATATTTTTGAAAAATAAAAATGGAGCTTCAATAAACCAAATAATCCTTTGCAGAACTTCACTACCATTCTCTGAAAAAAGGTATAAAATCATTAAAAACTGGACAGAAAACTGTTCCAGTAAAACAAAAATGTTCTGACCCAAGTTTAAATATCACTTACAGATTATTACAATGTCATTAATAATCAATAAATTTACACTCACTTTCATTCCAGACCATCTTCATTCACTGTTTAGTTAGTACTGCCTAGTATCATGCCACACAAAATGACATTACACACTTCAACAGAATTAAACATTTACCAGTACATGTCAGAATTAATATCCACTAAAATTAAATTTTTAAACACAAAATATTATATGCTATACAACTTTTTGTATCTCTTAAAATATAAAATGACTTTTCAAACAAAACTGAATCTAATTATTGTTCTTGAAGTCTGAAACAGATTTCCTACTTAGAAGTCCTCCATGGTAAGCTGTGAGTACTGCCTGTTTTACTTCGTACAATACAATTTGTCCTGTAGATGTCTGACATTCACATATAAAGCGCATAGGTTCAGCCATGACTCTGTAAAAGCAATTATTTATTTACCCTCCCCGTCTTTCCTTAGTCTATAACAGATGTGTCTCGAGAAAGTTCACAGCACTCTCACCTAGCAGCTGTGTGACAAGGTCTTTTCTTGTATAATTATTGCACAGAGTCATTTTTAGTAACTTGATGAGGTGACAGCTCTGCACTTCACAGTGAGTGGTATGCTGCTTGCTATGAGGCACATGCAAATTTTGTTGATGAATCAGCATGACTGACATTCATTTGGAACAAAGTAGTTACAATTCACAGATCACAGAAGGTGTTGAAAATGATGTCCTCGCTACACATAGATATTTTTTCAAGTAACTGGTTCATTAAAAAACACAGGTATAATAATCCTTTTTGCACTTACAGAACACCAGACACCAATTCTCACTGGCTGGCTTCAGCAATTGTGTTGCCGTTCTTGCACTAGACTTTGACACTCCAGTCTCCTGAACTAGATGTTTCAGTGATTTTCTAGGTGTATGTTCAAGTGAGGCCCCATGTCATCTAACTTCTTCTTAGTAAGCACCCAATGCTTATGTTTTTGTTTCTTGTCTATTAAGACTCCTGTTGTTCTAAGTTTATTCAGCAAATTGTAAATTGTTTGTTTACTGAAAACTCTTTACCATGAAATTTATGTTGATATTTTCTCTGGCACTTTCTAGCAGATCCGTACTTAATGTAGGTGTCATACAAAAATACACATTACTCTAAAGTATATTGCACCATGACGTACAACACTGCCAACTGAAACTGAGAACAAATGGCTAATGGTTCTGATAACTGCTGTCTACTGCTGACAAATCACAAAAAAACTCCCATGCATGAACTGCACCGCTGACTGTGTAATATAATACCATCAAGTGGTCTACAAATTAATTACTTCCATTCGTTCCAAATCTTATTGGCTGATTCATCAGTAAAATTGGTATGCGCCTGGGCAAACAGCGCATCACTCGCTGTGAAGCAGAGCCGTGAACTCATCAAGTTACTAAAAATGACCCTGTACATACTATGCCCTAACCCACTAATTAAAAAACCCACAAACCTAAGTTAATATTTAGCTTCATGTCCTTGAAAGGCAAAGGAAATACAAGTGGCTGTTGCAGACATGTAGCCCATGGGATAACATCCTCTTCCTGCTGCGGATCCTTCAGAAGTGCCAAGCATGTGGTGCTGTCCAGCTGGCCAAGGAAACTGATTATCTCATGCTGAAGCTGAGAAAGCTCTGATTCTGGATGCTCAATAATTTTTTTCCTGGCCACTTTCTTATTCTGACTATAGTTTGTTCGATTTCTTCTTCCAAGAACCATTAATTCCTTTTCAATAATCACATCCTGACCACTGGCCACACCTGTCAAATAAATGAGCAATACACTAAGAAAAAATTCTGAACAGTTACTACTAGTTGTTATGCACTACTCTGAGGAGACAACAGATGAAGGATAAACTAGAATTTAAAATATATAACAATGATGCTTATCTCAGCCACACATATTTAACAACTGTTTGTCTGTGGCTTCTGTGATGATTAAATGTACAAAAATATATTTACAGATGATGAAACATGGTCTATGGTTCTCATCCCAAAATTAAGTTGTAATTACCATAGCGGAAATTCCTTTTCCTTCCCTCAATGAGAAAAACATGCCACAAATGCTGCAAAACCAAAATTATATTGATTATTTACTTCAATTACTAAGGGTTCTACACCATGACCACCCTCTGAAGGATAAGATTATAACTTCTTGTTACAAACATTGGCAAGTCTCCATGGTCCACAAAAGGGGGAATCCAGCAGATACGAGTATCAAATTCACCTTGACAAAGCACTGCCTACAAAGGTCAGCTTGTGGAACAAATTTAACTCCGTAAGATTTGAGGTTTTCACAGCGGTGACTATGAAGAAAGCAGTCTTCTGGGATGTGGCGCTGTGTAGATATTGTGTTCACCAACATTTTGGAGGAATGTATCATCTCCAGAGTTGGTGCTCCTGGGGGACATTTTCAGGCAGAATGGTTATAATAGCTGGTAGATCCAAAGAGTTCTCAACCAACGTCTGAGCATCAGTCGGTCCAATTATAAACAGGACTCAGTCGCCTTCTTGCCCTATGTCAGGACTATATTCAACCTAATCAGCAGAGTGCTGTCCTGGCACATCACATCAGTGGGCCTGCCTCCAAAGAAATTATCTAGTTTCCTCCAGCCATTCAGAGATAGCCTGGGACTAAGGACACTGGGTGTATACAGGATTCCCTGCGAGTGCAGCAAGGTCTGTATTGGGCAGATGGGCCGTTCTGTGGACACAAGGTTGAAGGAGCATCAGCAGCATATCCATCTCAAAAATCCGGACAAGTGAGCTGTGGCTGAACATGGCATCGATTTGGGACACCACAGCTTCAGAATACCTCCACCTTCGCCACCAAGACCCAATATATGGGTCGCATCATTAGGGAGGCCATTGAGATTGAACTCCCTCCCGACAATAAGAACAGAGAGGTGGGGTTTTGTCTCAGTAAGCCTCTCATCTGTTCCCTCAAGAAACCTCTGGGACATGATGCCAGATCCACAAGGTCGTACAGGTCCATGCCCGACGCGCATTGGAGCCCCAAAACTTCAGGGTTAATGCCTTCCTATTTACCTTGCCCTTCCCCCCCCACCCCGACACAATATTCTATACCTGCTGGCCCACCTCCCCTGACCCTTCCCCTCTCCTCTCTACTGATTTCCCATGCAGCCCCTCTCCCTTCCCTTCCTGCTCTTATACAGTTCGACTCGACATTAGTCTGTTAGCACCTGCTCACGCTGGTTCTTCGCTTGCAGATTTTCTTCTTTCTTCTACCATGAAGCTGGAGGTGATACATTCCCCTGAAACGTCAGTTAACACAGTATCTACATGGCGCCACATCCTAGAAGAATGCTTTCTTCAAATTTAACTCCACTCATTATTCCACAAGTGAGACAATCTCCCAACTCAACAGATACAGCTTCATGTGATTCTTGTGTTCCCTAAATTCAGAAACACCTTCGAAGGAACAAGATAATAATAATTTATTCTTATATTCAAGTAGATCCAATTACAGGGCAAGAAACAAGTTGTCACACCACTGGATATAGAATGTGTCAAAAATCAAAACAAATGTTCCAACCAATCACTGGAACAAGTCAAAATAACATAATATAAAACATAGACAACACAGTCACTAAACATAATAAAATGTGACTACAACAAGACTTAAATACTAGATGAAAACATATGATGTGAAAATGAGTGGACAAATAACAAGTGAGCATCTGTTGTCACTTTAAACATTTAGACAGAGAGGTGCTTCCAGCATTGGTAGGAAAGTGTGTACATCATGTGGGGATGTGAAGAGAATTAACCTTCCATTCTTGTACAGAAAGTACCTCCATTTCCACAGCTTCAGTCTCAGTACTTGCTGAAGAGGCCTTAAGTTCTGTAATTGTATCACAATTTCTCCTTCCTATCAGTTTACACAAATGCCCAAAGATACTATACAAAGAAATGAGTGTTTTATTTTGTTCAGAGATATTTTCACAGAGAAAACACAACAGCCCTAAGGGTGACTGACTGTATGTCAAATTCGGCCATAAAGATGAAATTTACTGGCTGACAGGAGAAGAGAATTCCATCTGTATAGAAATGGTACAAAGAGGAGCATTATGGAACTATCTATTCACTGTTCAAGTACACCTTATTTTTTGAACACATTATTAAATTACCTTGGCTCCGCAAGAATGGATCAAGATAGGGCAAGACCTGCATAAGAAGTGGAGTCACCAAATGTGATGGTAATGTGCAGTACCATTTATCTAAAGCAGAAAGACCAAGACGAGCTAGGGGTAACATACTTCGACCCACGCGGAATATTACCTGCAATAAAGACACATGTTTAATCCAGACTCTGTCCCACAAACCTCTCTGCAAAATAGAAACACAAATTAAAAATCTCTACCTATCTATTCTAAAGTCTTAATTTTAGGATTACAAAATAAAATAAGTACAAGGGGGTTTTGATATAAAACCTCACAGATTCAACTAAATAACATATAAATGGTATGCTTGACCCACTGGCTATGGCCTCTTTTTGGTGCCCCACTTAATATACTTTTACACTGATGAAGGGGAACACTTCAAACTTAGGATTCCAGCAACACCAACACACAGTATCAAGCCTACTATTAATGTGGGTTTACCATAATTTAAGGCCATAATAACTGTGTGAAGACATATCATATTCACAGAGGACTATCTAACACAACATTCTGACTATTCAGAATAATATACTGTGAACCAAAATTATTCCATTGTCAAGGGCAATTATGCTCAAATAAACAATCGGTAATTTCTTTCACCTCAAATCATCATGCCAAGATACAATGCAACAACAGGACAACTATAAGTAAAAATCTACACACCTTACAATACCTTTTATACAAAGTAACAAGAAGAAAACTACTGAAACTGACTGCAGTGGTAATATACCTCAAAAGCTGGTACTGCATGTGGTAACAGAGGTACAACCAAAGCTACTGGAGCTGCTATCACAGTCTCCAGGCATGCCACTTGCAAATCATTCTTGTACTGTTGCAGCCGAATCAAAAGTTCCTGAAGGAACCTGCACAAAAGTGAGTAGGAGGCCTTTTGTTCAGTAGGCTGGTTCAGCATATCTCCATAGTCCTGGAAACATAGATTACGAACCAATTATAAGTTATAATTAGCCACTAACTCTCAGACAGCAGTCACCAACAGTATAACAATAGTGTCACCAAAGTCCACCATTACAACATGATTATAAACCACTGTAATCCAGACAAAATCCATTCAAACTACTTCCAGAACACCCATTTTAATATTATCTTCTTATGTCCTTTCTCAATCTTCCATGCAGTCACTTTAAAAAGGATTCTCCACTGAAACTTGATATGCACTTCTTATCCTCCTAATCCAAGATCCCTGTCCCACCCATCTACTTGCCTTAATTTCACTACTATTATAATCATACAATATCCCCTACCTTCCACTTATTGCATCCTTATTGCAAGTTTTTTCTAACCATTTTGTTTCCAAACACAAAGCAGTTTTTGTTCCATGTTAATATTTCACAACCACACCACTTCAGTGAAACTTAATCTTTAGCATTCTGAAAAGCAGATAGACTAACAATATTTGTTAACACTACAGTAACAAGCATTTTCGAAATTCCATCACGAACTTAATTTTTATTTTTGTTATAGCAAATCGAATAATAATCATAATAATTAAAATTTAATTTTTGTTTTTGTTACAGATTACAATAATTCAAACAACAACCACCATCATCAATGATGATAATTATGTTAATGCAGCAAGAGAACATTTCATCATGAAAAAAGACTTTCAGTGGTACATGGCACACATGATTTTTGCATTTCACATAATTATAAATATAGAGAACTCAGAAATATGTTCTTTGCATGTTATTAATAAAGTTCCAGTTCTATCTTCTGAGATGTAAAGCCTGTTTCTTGCAAGTTTCTTTCTTGATTTACTTTTTGGTCCTGAAGATGAAGGCAGCACAGACCTCCAAAACGATCTTGGACTTCTACTGGACTATATGGAATTATATCACAGGAGACAGTATCCTTCAAGGTACAGTTTACATATGCATAATATGCATCTGCCATGTAAGTATACACAGTATGCTGTAAATGCAGCTGACTACAGGTACACAGCAAAGCAAGTGCAAGATGTTGGATCAACTTTGATGGTGTACAATTAATTTTTTTTTAATTCTCCTAGTGGGGGGTCGAGTCCAATTGGGTCCACTCAGCACAGTGGCCACTGATTGGCCTATTGTAGCCTGCCCCGGGTGATTACGATGATGGAGAATTTGGTGGAATGAAGATTGGCAGGGGAAACCGAAGTACTCAAGAGAAAACCCACCCCAGCACCACTCTGTCCACCACAAATCCCACTTGACCAGACCCGGGATTGAACCCAGGCCACTGTAGTGGGAAGCCGGCGACTAACAGCTTAAGCTTGGTGTACACTTACTAGATGTTATTATTATAGCAGGAATTTTCTCAGATCATATTTTATGCATATATTAGACAAGTTATGTCTTTCATGGATCCCTACAATATTTATTGAAGGTATTTTTTTCAAGTGAACAAGTTAATATTTAGCAAGATTTGCTCAAAAATGTATATTTACTCTTAAGTAACCAAGTCCGAGCAAAATCAGTCAGGTAGTTCAACTACTGTTACTATCTGATGAACAGATTTGATTAAACTAATAAACTGTCTTCAGATATCTTTAATGCACATAAAAATTACAGAATACTACATGATAAATAATAATTGCATACACAGAAGTGGGAAGCATAAAGCATGAAGTAACATGTAACAGAGAAGCGTATGAGCAGATAATCCCTTATTAAATGATAAAATTGGAATTATAAAATATTACATACACTGAAATAATGCAGCCGATCACAAAGCTGAAGAGCAACAGTTAGCAACTTATAAAAGCCACTGACTAGAGGTTTATTAGACGATTCAGAAATAACTTTGTAAAAGAATGGCTGAATCCATTTTTCAAACTGGCTACAATCAACACTCATAAGCACATCTCTCGTCAGATCCACCAAGTTGATAAAGACTTGAAAATCTTTGCGGTTGTTAGCTTCAAGTCCAGATTCAGGATCAAGAACTGGAATGTCTGCTTCACTAGCCCCACCTGATGTCTGAAATATGATTGGTATACTCTTTTAATATCACACATAATCATTCAGAAATCACCAATACAAGCAAATAAGACACACATTAAAGATTATGTTTTGCTAAAGTCAAGATAACGCCTAGTTACCAAATACATGTAAAACAACATCTATTTGAGCACCATAGGAACATGTTTGCTTTGAGAATTATCACATAATATTCTCCTTAATCTGCATTTGAATAAAGCTATTACGGATAAGAAATGACTGCACTTTGTAGCGTAGGTCACAAAACATGATGCATGCAACACAAAAATATTTGGTGGTTCTCTTTCACTCCAAGTTTCAAGCAGGTAACACAAATATATAATATCTGAGGTTTTCACATCAGTGAAGATTCATACTGTAGCCTTCTAGCAGGTGAGTACCACTGACCTGGAGGAATATACTGTTTCATCTTTCATTTTAACTTTGGAGTTGGAGGCAGTATGTTCCTTTCAAACAATCAAAAGGGGAAGCATAACAGATCACTGTAGGTCGCAGTACAAGGGCCAAGAAGGTAAACCCTTTATACATACATTCACTCATTCGTTCATTCATTCATTCATTCATTCATTCATTCATCCCTCTGAAACAAAAGTACCTACCTACCAGGCTATAAGGTGCCATAACCCAGAAGACCACAATATGAATGTAATGTGAGTAATAATATTTTTTAACTTTCAACCTCAAGAAAGAATCCAAAATTACAAACAAAACATCTGAAGACCAAAGGTAAATTAAGTATAGTATATTCACGTTTCTTGAATTATAATTAAACTTACACTTAAAGCTTCTATATTTGTTTTTTTCCGAGTACTTAAGTCCAGCTTCTTCATCAATACAAGAACAGTGTTGACAAGTTTATCATACACTTTGACAACTATCAGTTGTGTCTGTGTCAGTGAAGTACCTGTTCCAAACACAAAAATAAACCATACTTCGTGACAAGAGGGAAAACTTGTTATATTACTGTTGTACAACCAATACAAAATATTATCATTGTCACCGAGCCAGTACATGAACAGTGATAGTAATGATGCATTCTTCATACAAACACTATAACTTATTCTAAGCAATCAGAAAAATAATTTCAAAACTGAACATTTTTCAATGACTTTTTTTTATTCTCATACCAACCTATACACACATAGAATACCTAGAGGGACAAATTTTTCAAACAAATAATTCAGAACTATGCTGAGCTCTACACAATTTCGGGCTTGTATTGCTCTGAAGGTTCTGTAAGCAAGCTATATAGTCTATATATAATAAGTCATAAGTGTTAGCCTGTAGGCCCATTCAGCTATCACATTAATTTTAAAATCTTCCCGATAGAATTCCTGAATCAGAGTACAATGCACATATAAAAGACTACAAACAGGTACAAAAATAAATCTAAAAATTTATTACCAAATCAATTTTATGGACAAATCCCCCATCCTGTACCTCCTAAACAATAAACAAACAAACTCCATGGTTTTAGTCCGCAAGCGAACTATACCGACCGAGTGACCGCCGCATGTCAGTGAAGTTAGTGCCAACTTTAAACAATATGCAAAGATAAAACGGAACATTTATTTTTAAGTCTGTACCAAAGAAATGAACCTGTAACATTAGTCATAGGGTGCTTTGAAAACAAGTTGCAACTTACTTCTCTTCTGAAAGTTGTTAACACTCAGTAATTCCTTCCATAGAGGTATATAGTCTTTATATGTGAAGACATTTTCATGAAACTGACCCTTTTGAAGTTCCACATCTATAGCAATTTGGTGCTTACAGGAACGGATTATTCCTTGATACACTATATGTAAAAAAAAAACATATTAACCAATGCATAATTCAAAAATGGTATTTGAAAAAATCTGCTTTGAAAAATACAAATGCCTCAATTAACATAAAATTAATTACAAATCCACAAACAAAATCATTATAAAGTTACAGAATTAATTGAGAGTTACATTCCAAACTGCCATATACACAGAAGAGTGAAAATGCAGTTACTGAGAGAAGCATGAAGTCACCACTCGGGCACTCTGTGGCTGTGTTCAGCAACTGGTCTCAAAGATGAAGTTTCTCTCATTGAGTTACTGGAATGTACTCAGGTATGACACAGTCAATAAGTTCATTAACATAAGTTTTTTTTGTAATTACCTACTTACCCACATTTGACAGAAACTCTTCAAGAAATGTGCCACCACTTTCTGCAAGACTGGACAGAGTCACAGTAATGGCACGAATGGCAAGCCAGTGGAAAGGTTTGGGCAACTTGGGAAAGTTCTCTATCAGTTGCACAGTGAGGCACTGCAAAGCTACCAACTGTTCATTTGTCACAGCACTCAACTGTCTCATTATACTAGACAATGATTCGATGTAATCAGGGAGGTTTTGAAGATCTGCATTACTTATATCACCTTCTCTGAAATGACGAATCAGACATGAGCATTCCTAAATGTATGTAATAAATTGATTTCCAGTGAAGTGAAGAAAATTTAGATAACCTTTAAGCTACCTGCCTCTTTCAAAAGTCAATGAACATGTTTATATAAGAACCAATAGAAACACTCAATCTTTGCATATTAGTTTTATAAAGGCAGCATTTCTTAGATGAGAGTTTTCCATCAGAACTCCATGGTGCATGATACATTACTACTACCAACATCCCTCTATAAGTAAGAAAGCAAGGAAGTGTATCTGGGGTCTTGCATATTCAGAGGAACACAAAATTTGTATAACGTAAAACTCCATTCTATGCTGAATCAAAACTTACAAATTTTCTTTGTGTTTAGCAATGTCAGGTAACATGTTTTTAAATGCTTACTTGAAATATATTTGTTCTGCACGCTGCATCACGACAGTGAACATGTATAATACATCCTGTGGTGTCATATAAACACGACAGGGAGCAGCAAATAAGCCGAACGCTTTTATAACAAGCTTCATATCATAAGAAGAGGTACTACTGCTTAACATCTTGTTTTTGAAGAAATTAATGAAGTACTGAAAAGAAATTAATGAATACTAATTAAGGAAGTGTAAAGTCCATCATCCATTATCAGACAATGTTTACTGCACTGGCCTTTGAAGTGTACAACAAAACTGATATTTGGTTCATCCTGGTCCATCACACTAGCAATATTATAAAGGTTAATTAACACCATCCAGTTTGACTGATAAAATATTTCTTTCATTTTTAATCTTTTATCCTTTAGCTGCTGTAGTTGTTAAAATATTAGATTTTGTATTCATTGTATTCAATTCAATTCAATTTTATTTCATTATTATTTCATTATTATGATGANCTGATATTTGGTTCATCCTGGTCCATCACACTAGCAATATTATAAACGTTAATTAACACCGTCCAGTTTGACTGATAAAATATTTCTTTCATTTTTAATCTTTTATCCTTTAGCTGCTGTAGTTGTTAAAATATTAGATTTTGTATTCATTGTATTCAATTCAATTCAATTTTATTTCATTATTATTTCATTATTATGATGACATTGTATGTACATATTAATACTCACAAAACACACTGTAATAGTGCTTTCTAATTGTATTGATATCCTTCTGAAGATGGTCTATAGGACCAAAACATGTCATGGATAAAAGATTAAAAAGGAAAAAAAAAAAACATTTTATCAGTCACACTGGATGGTGTTAATTAACCTTTATAATACTGATGTTTGCAATTTATATTTAAAAGTGCACTCACTTAAGATAAAAACACATCTTGCAAATGTTAAATTTGAATACATTAATACATGATATTATACAGCGGATAATCCAGTATCACCCAATACAGAAGATGATCTACGCTGACGTATCTTGGAAGAAACTAGTGTGACTGCAGAAGGTACACCACAGAGGTTAGAAGGAAAATGAAACTCCCCTAGCTAAAGGAGTTGCATTAAGAAAAAATACCTGTGTGGAACTCTGTACTTTTGCATTCCATCAACCCATTCACTTAATAATCCCCAGAGGCAATGCAACTACTCTCTTAACTGTCCTAAAGCCAAAGTCAAAGTCAATTTACGACTGGCAGTTTAACCGCCAATCACTTAGTCTTGGTGTCAAGCCCCTTGAGACCCATGACCAGATTTTTTTTTCCCAACTGAACATTTGCAGTAATAGTCCTCATGTAACATCATCTCTGACAAGAAGATGGGTTTGTCTCTTATGAATATGCTTGGCCTTTCATCAAGTTTATACTTCGCACATATAGCATGTTATTGAAAATTCCTCCTTTTGCACTACACACAAGTCCTCTGCCAGTACAGACATTACAGAGCAGATCATGCATATCTTACATATCTTATGCTAGAACGGCAGCTTACTCACTTGAACGGTCATAAGCTTGACCACTGCCAAGTTTAAGCCTTCTATATTTTCTATATCTGGCTTCTCCTTGTCCTATGCTGCTAACATGTTCATTCTCACGATTTTGTATGGCTTTTGCTTGTTGCCTGCACAGTTTTGTTATACATATGGAAGGTCGAAAGATGTGTGCACCCAGCTAAATTTCCAGTGGTGTGCAGAACCTTGTTTTGCATGCTCTGCAATTTTAATAACTGTCCTAGTCCTACTGGTCCTCACTATATATCTTCGACATGGACAATACAGAAAGCACCGTTTAAAACAGTTAATCTAGTTGTGGTGTGCATATCCCTTGCTGTGGGCACGTATTTACCGAGCCACTGCCTAGCAATGTCTACTTTTAATAGATACTATAATAATGCTCAAACAAGGGTGTATGAATTTCATTATGAAAATTATACTTTATTACACAATACTAACCAAAAATACATGGTGTCCTGTTTCTGACGTGTTGTCCTTAAGAATAGAGGCTACTTGATTATAGAACACATCAAGGGCTGAAACACCAGCTTTGTGATCTTCTCCAGCTGAGTTAATCCATTTCAAAAGAAATTCATGCCAAAATTTGTACTCATCATATAAAAATTTGGCCAGCTGCCCTCCATGTGCTTGAATCAATCCCAAGGCACCTGTTATACCCATAAATCACGTAATACATTATTCTGCATATATCTATAAAAAACTTCAGTTTTGTAAAATCAGCTATTGGTAATCACAACGAATGACTTACACTTTCTTAAACAGTTTTTCAGAATCTCTGTGACGATACAACTAAGTGAAAAATTTGTAATTGGGCAGAAATATGACCCTTCTATGAACACCTGTAAAGTATTAACTGAGGAATAAGCAGGAAACAGCACTGAACCCAAGTGAACATCTCCAGCATACAACAAACAAATTATCCGTCAAGGAATGTAAACAAATATAATTCTCAAATCTGGATTTTGTTACTATAGGATTCTGACGATGGTGTATAACACACAGAGAAAGTGGGTTTTCAGACTTTATCCATCGTCCTGGTTTTAAGATATCTAAGAAAAATATGACATTGTCCAGTGATTGAGGCTAGCTCTTTCTAAGGGACCCAACAAAATAGGTGTTTTCCCTCACCTGAGGATGGAAACAGATCCAGTTTCCGAAACGTCATGTTTTTCTTAGTTATCTTAAAATAGGACGATGGATAAAGTCCGAAAACGCAATATCTCTGGATTTTGTTTCTCTAAATAAACTGCATCAAACACAGTGTCCCTAGAAGTGAAATACTGGTGTGCTCTTAACACCAATTATCAATTATCAAATTATCAATTCCAGAAACTTTCTTGGAAACACTGTCCAGGGTATAATTTGGAAACCCACATTCTGAAACTACTGCTTCCAAGAGGATTTGTCCAGAGGTATATAGTAAAACATACATTATATTACGCATAGTTCCATACATTCCTTTCAGAGGTTCTTCACTGTGACAAACCCTGCAAGGCAGTTATTTTATTGAACATACAATTTAATTCTACAGACTGCCAACTATTTAAAAAAGTCAGCTTTTCATTATCACCAAGGACAGTGACCTTCCTGTCGAACTACATAAAGATGAAAGAAATGTTTTTGTCATTAACTTCAAAAGAGTCCATATACAGGTACAAGAGATATAGCATGGCTTTCTGCACATAGCTGGTGCTTATTTTCTTTTTTCAGCCTCAAAATAATAGCATTATTAAAATTGTGTGTACAAAAGCTGTTTCAGAATTTTTTTTTTGCATTATTTCATTACATTGTTGTTCACAGTTAGTGGCTTAGGTATAAATAAAGTGGTTTAAGTTACTTACAAACATATACCAACATTTCACTTTGTTATGGGCATTGCACTTTGAGCCTGACACTGAAGAAAATATACCTTGCAGGTGTCGAGTTAGAGAACAATAAAATCCCCAATTGTATGTTAATAAAAATGCATATGCATTATTAACAAGCTCCAAATTCTTGTACTAATTTTACTGCATCTACATACATCTTGGTGCAACTCTCATTTCCTTATGCTTCCGAGCCACTGCTGTCACACAATCATAGATCCTCCGGGCCTCTTTTTCCTGAGGTTTTAATGGGAACACATACAAGAACTCTGTAAGTCCATTTAGACATCCAGCAATTATTTGATATTTGACAGCAGTTGCATGAGACGTCTGTAATTACAAAATATAAAGTATGAACATAACTCAAAATATGCAATGTGTCAAAATTACTTGAACAAAGGTGTGTATATATTAACATATGGTATATTTGAAAACAGATAATGCAAAATACATTTTACAAACTTTCTGATGTCCTTTCCACAGTAAGAAAGAAATCTTCTGGGCACTGTGCAATTATTTTCTGACACATTTGAACTGAGAAGCTATAATTCGGAGAAGTACCGTCTACAAGGACAAAACACAATAAAAATATAATAACAAATTCATAAGTGTGCTTTTACAAACTGCCATCTGTTGCATTATTAGCATTCAAATAAACAGAACTTTCTGGGTACTCACTCTTACAAATTCATCTTTCCTTACAGAAGATGTATGCAGGAACATTTGACAGTACAACTTTTTACACACCCAATCAAAGCAACCATACATTTTTATACAAAATATCAGTAAAATTATATTGAATACAAAGTCTTAATGACTGCAAAGGTTTTCATAGACATAAAATCCAATTTCATTACTCAGCCTTTGATATGTAACTTTTCAGAATGTATGTGCCCAACCTGAAGGAAATTACACCTGTAAACAAGGACATATAAATTTACCTGCATTTCCAGTTCACTCAGATATATTCTGAGTAGAAGACGTGTCTCCTCTGGCCTTAAGCATTCTGGATATTTATGTACAATTATACCCAGTATATGGAGATGCTTCTGTACCACTGAAAGAATTTATAAATATTTCTAAAACAACACTTCTGATTTTACCGCATTATCTCTATTTAAAGTCAAGCTGATAAGAGATATTTAACATCCCCTAAGACTATTCAACATGAATAATTATTATTCAGCGATATCAACTGTAGTTCCACCACCACAATAAAGTTATATAATGAGCTTAAGACATGCACCAGTAGTATCTTTGTCCTAGTGCATGGCCATATTTAGAGAGGAAGAAGAAAATGATAATAGGTTCAAACACTCCATGCCCTCCAGCAAAAGAGCAGAGGACAGCAAACATTTTTCTGTGAAAGCCTTAAATTTGATGAAAGGTTCTGTGGTCATGAGCCTAACATATGTTTCATTGAATTAATTTATAACTGTACATAGTCAGATGCATTCTTGTTACTTGATAGTTAACATCATTCCCTTCCATCCTCATCCAGCATTATACAAAATCCTGAATACGCTACTGCCCGAATGCGAAGAACATAAAGACATTAAGCCCTGATGAATTAGCTAGTCAAAAGCATGTCACTACCAAAATTTTAAAACCTTGAGATGAGCGAAAACTCTGGATGAATAACTTCAAAAGTACAATGCCTAGCCAGCACACAATACCAGTTAACAGCTCATCAATTGCCTGCCACTGCAAGTAAGCTCAAACATGACAAAACTTGGTTGAGTCTTGTTAGGCATCATGGATGGACCTTGAAAATGAGCTTTTTATTTTGCAGTTATAACATGTAGTGCACCAGTAACTTTTGAAACTGTTAGTATAGTAGTACTAACCATTTCTTTCTAGAGATATTTACAAAAATAACATGCTTTAATGTTATTAATTCACTTTACCTTTTGCTGGCATTGTGTTGCTTTTGTTACTCTTGAATGGATTAATAAGTTTGTCAAAGAGTTCATCTACATTCAGATTGTCATTCCAAGGTCCATTCTCCAGGACAGACTGGATCACATCAAATGCTTTATCTTTCTCTTCTGCCTTTTTCTCCAGCAATATGCAAGTCTTGCATAGATCCTATTGTAACAAAACCCAAGACACACTAACAGTTAAACAAGCATCTCATCACAGAACATGATAATGTTTTTAGCACTCCTGTTTCACATTTTATGACATCCCTGGGCCAGGCAACATCTAGTCTGACTTGTGCTTTCCCTCAATCTCACCAAATAAATTACACAACTTTTTTAACAGCTACCTTCCTCCACATTTGCAATCATTCAATCATTCAGACATTCACATTCAAGGCAAGTACTGCTGGCTGAATTACAGCAAAAACATAGATAGAAGGATAATTCACTGTCACTCACTAACAAAATTGGATTGCAGGAACAAAGTCAGAAAGCATTTATACTTCAGAAACTGCTGAACATATACTGCACTGAAGACACAGAGAAACACAAATACGTATTTATCAGAACTCATGTTACCAAGGTAAGAAGATAAACGGTCATACAATTACATCTTCTAAGTCAAAGACTTTAAAGGCACTCAGACAATGGAATTCCCTTTGGAAAATGTTGTCACAGATGACAGTAAAGAAATGCCACAAATCATAAGTTCTAACACATTATAAAGCAAGTATTTTCTGACAATGAGATACAATAGCAGTATCTTTTTTCCAAAAGAAAAAAGAAGGCTAAAATTAGGCTCAAAGTTATCTATTTTGTTTCAAGGACCATCACATCTTCTTTCAGGAGGAAAAACATATATAGCTATAAGTTTAATGATCATAAAATGCAACATGAAGGAAACAACTAAATTATTACTATTGACTTATAATCAGAATCACGTAAAATGATCACTATAATAGAGGTAATCATAGTTGCCAGCTCACAAACAAAATTGTTCACATGACCTTGAGAATGTAACTATTCAAATCATGACTTCAATATAAGTAGCTCTGAGATTCGAGGATATCTCCCACACCTTAATTTGGACAACATGGCATGACATTCTTTCTTTGAAGACATCAATTAACTGTTTCAGCAATGTAAATGATTCCTTGATAGCCTCAGTGAAGGCATCTTGTTTCAGTGCTTTCTGAATGAACTGTAAAATCCCAGTCTTCTTATCAAATAAAACTGTAAATGCTCCATCTGAAAAGAAATTACAGTGAAGAGTTTTATTAAACCTTCCATGAATTTTGTAAGAGCTTTGTCACTACTGAAATAGAGACAAGAGATTACACAATCAAGAGCCAACACCTGTGGCAACTTTCCATAACTAAGACACAAATAATGGGAGCCAGGATATGTGTAGTAGGTATAGTGACTGGCTATGGGCTGGGGTCAGAGTTTCAGCCCTGGTAAGGTCAAGAATTTTCTCTTCTCCAAGTTGTCCAGACCAGCTCTGGGGTCCACGCAACCTCCTATCAAATAGGGACAGAGGGCTCTTTCTGACCACTCACCGCCAGTTAATGCTGAGGTCAAGAAAATGTGGATCTATACAGCCACTCCCCCATACGCCTTCATGGCGTAGTGCTTAATTAGTTAAGCACAGAGAAAACTTTACCTTTAAGACAAACATAACCTTGTAAAATTGCAGTTCTCATCAATTATGACAAATGAAATGAACAGAGAAATTAACATGTGAATATACAATCATGTAAAAGCAAGCCCTTCCTGTGCCTAATTAAGCACTATACCCTAGAGGAGTGGAGGCATAATTCCAAGCATTTTTAACCTACACCTAAAGTGGCAAATGACCATCTTCATACTCTTAACTGCTTTACCCTCACAGAAAAGATCCCCAGGTACCAACTGGATAGGTATCTGAGAAGGCCCCAGAGCCAGTCTGGACATTTTGTCAAAGAGGAAAATGCCTGTTTGTGAGTCAGAGGTATCAACCTAAGGCCTGCAGGCTGGCTGCAGGCCACATCATCTCTTCACATGGTGCCTTTAATGTATTACTTACTTACAACTAGGCTGCGCTGTGGCTCAAGCGGTCAGTCTCTGGCTTCCCACCGCAGCAGCCCGGGTTCGATCCCGGGTCTGGTCAAGTGGGATTTGTGGTGGACAAAGTGGCACAGGGGCAGGTTTTCTCCGAGTACTTCGGTTTCCCCTGCCAATCTTCATTCCACCAATTGCTCCACAATCACCCTCGCCTATCATATGGGGCTGGTACAATAGGCCAAAAGCAGCCACAGTACAAGGGACTTAGTCCCACTCCACTAGCAATAAAGAAAAAAAATACTTACATCTAAGGTAATTCCTAGTGTACGGCAAATGGGGGCTAAAGCCCCAGACCCCATAATCCATTATCACTGTATCTCTTTAATTTTGTGGTTTCAATTAATTTGATTTTGCTGAGCAGTGAGTTCATTTTTTGATTGGATTATAGTGTCAGCAAGTCATTAAAGCAATCTTTTAGTTAGATAGCAGTCAGTTACCTTATGGGAGTGACCACTCATAATAATTTCCGAAAGGTAAAAAAAAAAATAAATAAAGCTATCCTATAACAGGCCGTGAAGAACCATACAGTTGTCAGATGCCAAGGTTCCCACATGTTCTAGACAATTGACTCACAGATGGCAGTGAGGCTGTCAGCCATGAAACACTGACTGCCCTTTATTCCTCAAGAAGATCCCTGGTACTCATTTCTGTAGTCTGAGGAAGGGGAAATTGCTCATCAATTCTCCAGTAGAACTGTAGTATTTATGTTGATACTATCCAAAGTTTCTGCCAGAACACATGCAAGCTCACCATTGTTTTGAAATTTAAATTGTAATATACTTTCAAGTATCAGTCAGCCCATATCAATGAGAAGTTTCTATTGTGTTTGTAGATTAATGTCAGTGCTCTGAGAAGAGAAAAACTGACAGCTTTAAAAAGCATCTTATGTCACAATAGAATAGAATGTTAGTGGGTTTGGAATTTAGCACTGCTGTGTTATATTAGCAGCCACTTAAATGACTGAAATACCAAACTTTAAAATCATTTCCGACATGCTTGGAGCTGTCAGCAGTTCTGAAATGAAGCTGAAACTAATTTGGAAACAGTTGGAATGTCACTTTCTGTGATTTGCTTCATAAGGATGGTCCAGTAAGTGTTACTCTTCCAAATGTCCATGCTGCAGAAATTATTGATTTCTTTGCTATGAATTTTCAAATTAGATCCAATAACTTTTGTAGCCATGCCACAAAGATGCATATAATTGAAAAACCAGAAAAACTGCAAATTGAATTAACTAAAATGCAGTATGGCTAAATTTTAAGCAGCTGTTAATCAAGAAAATATTATCTTTGCTTATTTATCAGTATTTCACATGACATATATACATCAGCACAAAATATGATTAGTGAATCTGGTAGCACATATACATGTAAACGTGCTTTTTCACATATGAAACTAAACAAATCTAAGTTCCATTCAAAGAATCTGCACTTAAATGATGCAATGCAAACTGACATTTCTAGAAAATTGAACCGAATACTAATTCTCTTTAAGAGCAAAGTCAGGCCCAAGATTCACAACAGTAAACTATGTTCCAGACATTTACATTGTAATGTTCAGTTTTGTGTAGGCTACAGGACAAATGGTGGATTTGCTCTTCTCTCTACACTAGAGATATTTGAATGTACTGACCCTCAGATTATATCTTTCAATGTTGCAGATCTACATTTTTTTGGTTGAGTTACCCTTGCCCTAAATCATTATATTAATCAGAAACAAACAACTTCCAATACTCACGGTAATTTGAATGTGGCGGGATAAAAAAAAGGGTAGGGATAGCTCAGTCAGTAACGACGAAGCTTCTTAACCGGGCGACCGGGGTTCGATTCCCAGTGAAATTTTTTTTTTCGTCCACCACCGCATACGGACTGACCCTCTGACCCACCTGTCCTTATGTCTAACAGGTACCGCTGACTCTTTTTACGAGGATAATATGCACTCACCTTTATCTAGACATAGATTAATAATGCATAGAGCTCAGTTTCCATTCCCCCACGTATCGCGGTGTGGTACATAATTAAGCACGGAGACAATTTACCTTCTACATTTACTTTCTGACTTATTTTGTGTCATTTAAAACACAAATTCTATCTATTAACACTTACCCAAATCCGTCCGCTTCCGCTTGTCTTCAAAATAGCTTATAATATTACTGATGTTACTTTTAGCCTCAATGTACTTATTCAAGTGATTTCCAGATATGCAGCTGTTTATAACTTCTACAAAACCAATCAATTCACTTCCCATCATGAAACATTTCAAAATTCCTCACCGGTTTAGCATTTAACCACCAACGTGCGAAACCTACGTGCTTAACTTTATTGCTTACTGCCTAACTTGCAGACCGTTGCAGACCAACACAAAACACGGTTGCCAGGTCGTTTGTAGATTGCAAAATACTATATATGTTGATCTAACACTTCAGTTTTTAGCAACGTGAAATTCAGTAGCCGGTGTAGCAGTAGTATGGAAGGTGGTTATAAAGGTCGTGAAGGTGGTAGCGGTTGCAGTAATAGCAGAGTCTCAGTTGTTACCGTTGTTACTTCAGGAAATAGAAGACGTGTGCAATATCTCATCTTCGTTCCACTAGGCTTCAGCTTCAATCATTATCGCCAACTTCCGTCACACGAGCACGGTAAGACCACGCATTTTCGAAGTAGTCTATGCGTATCTAGTTGGTTGCAGTCTATTGTGCACCAAAAACATCTCTGACCTCTCTGACAATGCTTTATCATCAAATAATAACGTAAACCGGCATGCCGTTAGAGAGTTACTAGAATCTACTTCCAACATACATGTACCATAGTAGATATATCGTTCAACACACAATCCCTTTCTTCTGCAAGGTTGTCTACGCAAGGTATGACTCAAAGGTTCATCCTCGTATGCCAATCCACCACATCGTACCCACCGAAGATCCATGAAATATTATTCTCCTTTCCATGTCAACGTTTTATACTGGCTTTTCCCTTCGAATTTTCAGATCAAAAAATGGGAAGGTCCTACATTCTCTATACATGTTACATGTTTCATCCATCTCGTTCTCTTCTCTTCTCACCCTAACAATAACACACAAACGCTACAATTCGTGTAGCTTCTTGTGAGATCAACAAATGCAGGATGTAAGCTACACAATAAACTTCCCAAATGAAAAAATGATGGAAACTAGGCCGATCAGTCACCTTATGGCGTTGACGTTTGCTCCATATTAATCGGCTGTTCGTCAGAAAAAATCTTACCGCTTTCAGTGGCGGTTGAAACTCCGGTTTTTTATGTGTCAGGTACCTTAAAAGGTGAACTGAACGGACGGCTTTTTAAATGGTATGTTATAACCAGGGCTGGAAATGGCGATGGACGCTGGTAAATGTCATATACTTAGTTCAGAGCCTTGCATTTTAAGAAACCTCTTTCTATTGACTTAAGAAGTTATAACTATTGCTCCCTATGACACACGTAGGAAACAATTATCCACATTACATTGCAAAAATTTCCCTTACATATGTGTTCGTCATTTCCCCGGTCTCTTTTACTTACCTGGAGAGTCTCCGTAGTTCTGAATGACCATATCCACTCTTTATTATAACTCTATGTAAGAACACGCCTATATGAATTACAGTTTTCAAAATGTCGACTTCTCAAACGAATAAACATCTCATAATTAGGGAGGTCTCCTAATGTGGGAAAGCGCGGTATCTCATCGAAGATATGCTGTCGCCAGCAGTCAGTAATATTAATTTAAAGAATATTCATGCAATAACAGCTGATCTTGCCTCCAGAACGTTTCGTGATTAACTGGTACTGTTTTGTTAGCTTCCAAAATTTTGGCTCTCTTCCACTTTAGTTACACTGCAGAAAAGCTGAGTGATCTGTGTTCTTTTAGCTTGACAGTGTTGTTTACGGAAACAATAAAGCTTCAGGTTAGATCAGTCCCCTTTCGGTGAATATCCCCTTGCTATAGCTTGCCAACAATGGATGACAACTCCCAGCAATTCAGTATAAAGCAATAAATATACTTAAACCACCAAAACACAAGTAGGCCATGTAAAACGAAGCATCATAAATTTAATGAAGATAACAGTCCAAAGACCATCTATATACTACTTCCTCACAATATGAAACTAACTCGAATTACCATACTATCGTCTATCATTATTATTAAAAAATCTTATAGACAATAAGAAAACTTCTGTAATAAATAACTTTTTAATTTAGTTTTAAATACTTTAAAATTTCATATTCTTTTCAATTCAGAGTATAAGTTGTTATGTATTTTTATTCCAATGTTAAATACACTTTTTATAACTAGCAGTGTTGCATAATTGGACATATAAATCTAGTTTCCCTTTTGTGTTATACTTATGAATATCGGAATACTGAGTGTTTAGCTCGAGAGTAATTCTGCTCATGGGACAGAAGCAGGACTTCGTAGAAAACATGTTATGCATCTAGTCTCTTAGAAGACCTGGTGGAACACTGTCTTGACATGGAAAAATGTTGCTTTGACTTGGCAATTAATTGTGTCGGACGTTAATTATTCACCTCGCACCGAGAAATGACACAGAAAACTCGTTTTCTAAAGCGAATGAGAAGGGTGACGAAACGTGGCTGAAATTTTTTCTTCGGCCACATCCCAACCTGTCAGCAAGAACACCTCACGGTCCAGAACTATGCTCGAACTCCAGGTTTTACTCCAGGAGCACTAAGTCACTTCTTCGATTTCTTTGAAACAACAGTGAAAAAATAGACCATTCTCCCTTAGGACTATTTAAGAACGATGAGATGGGGATAAATGTGGTTCAGCGCAGACACTCAAAGATGCTTGGCCTTGGATGAACGCACCAGATATTTGATGTGGATTCTGCAAAGCTTCAGAAGAATGTTCCCTTATCCTTGTTTTGGGCGGTCTCTTCTCTCTTGTCCATATACTGGAAGCCGTCAAATTAGTCCGGGATAAATAATTATCCAAAACATGCCTACCTCCTCATAGCACCCACAAAATTCAACCTCTAGACCTGGCATTTATCGATTCCTTGAAATGCTACTACAGTCAAGAAATCGAACGCTGGTTGCATGCAAATCCAGACCGCATCTTAGCATCTACCGTGGAAGCGAATTTTTTTAATTATTTGGAATTTGTATACATGAGAACAGTTACTGCTAAGAATGTTACTAGTAGTTTAAGGAATTCCGGTCTCTATCCTTGTAACAGCAACATTTCCGGGCAATAAGAGTAGTCTTATTGCCAAGAAAGACTGTGAGCATGCTTCTATTGAATCGCCCCGAAGAACCTCAATGGGGAACTTCCTGCAATCAAGCTAATATACACGTACGTACTTCGGTTACAGCTATCAACATTTTCTCTCTTAATACCCTTTATGAAATAGGCCAAAAGACTAGTTCTTGTGCAGGTCAGTCTGGGTGATAATTTCCCCATACAAGAACCTATAGTATAAAAGGCTAGAAAGAAAATTCTTGTAAAGGAGAATATATTTCAAAGCAGGGCTCAGGAGAAACCCGGAATGGGCTTGAAGCTAGACACGAATTAGCTTACAGTCAGAATAGGAAATGAAGCCAGTCTGACGAAGCTAGTAAAACGCGAATCATGGGCTCATAACAGCTGGGCAGAAGAAATGGCTGCTCACGTCAGCGATGTGCAAAATATCATATGATTGAAGGGAGAAGATTAAATGTCTTTGCTGTTGCAGCCTATTTTCCGAGGATTCAGTCGTTTTAGAATGGTTTCACTGCTGTCTGTGAGGATGCACAGAGTTTCCGCAGAAGCAGCGGAAGGAATATTTGAGTTTAGACCGCTACCCTTCAAAATAGCAAGACTATTTGGATTGCTGGATTTTCGGACTTTTTCAATCGTCCGGTATTCTATAAAATAGAAAACACAACGTTTCGGAAACTGATTCTGTTTCCGTCCTCAGGTGAGGGGGGAAGACACCTACTCAGTTAGGCCCCTTAGAAGGAGACTGTTTGGTGCTATGATACTCCCTGCCTTATCCTTATAACTTGTTCTTTTTACAGTTTGTCACAACATTTCACCGATTTATGATTTATTTGTCTTTTAACACTACGGAGTCATAGCTTTCCAAATTCTACCCTTCCCATGTCGCTGAATTTACTAAATTTATACTGCTCTTGAATTTCAAACCTTAGAAGTGTGTTAATGGGTCTGGAGCGCCTGACTGACCCATTGAAGCTGAATGATATAGGTGGGTGGTTCAAGGTTTGTCTGGATTTTATTCATTTATTTATTACAAAAAAAGAATACTTACGACAGAATCCCAAAATTTCCACTTCTTTTCAAGATATTCTCCCCTTACGCTTTCATTTTTGTTTTTTCACCATCCTGGCAAGTTGCTGACGCCAGCAGCATAAAATATTTTATTCTGACTTGTAGCCAGCTTAGGCCGCTGCGTTTGAGTTCATCTAAAATTCAGTTCTCCCGGGTGCACCATTATTGGTCCAAACAAATGAAAATCACTGGAGCCTAATTCAAGGCTGTAGGGAGAGTGTTTCATGATTTCCAAGCCCCTTGTTGCCAATGTCGTCTTCGTCAAATTTATCGTATGTGGACGAGCATTAGCATGCAGTGTGATTATCTTTTTTGACAGCTTCCAAGGTCTGTCTTCAGAATTGCTTTTTGCACAGCATTGCCGAGCAATTTACTCTAATGCTGTGCTTTAATTGTTGTACCATGTAGAATAAAATCACATGAATCCCAAAACACACTGGCCATGATCTTGTCAGCTGACAGCTGTCTTGCTGCTTTTGGGGGGTAGAGATCCCTTGTGACGGCATTCTATATTTTTGAAACCACTCCCGTATGGTAACAAACATCTCAGGACAGTGCAGTGAAATGTATGCTGTGTGTGGCGATGTCTCAAAATGATTCGTCGTCTCGAAAACAGCCTTAATTTCAACTTCTTTCTCCGTGTGCTGTAATAAATTAAGTATCTTTATTATTTAAAACGAACTGTAGGAATTAATAACTGTAAGGTAAAGTTCTTTCTGGTCTTAATTAATTAAGCAACAAGCCATGAAAACGTATGGAAGTACGAATATATAGCTCTACCATTATTGACCTCGGTACTAGATGGCAGTGAGTCGTCAGCTTTACGCTCCGACCGCTTTGCCCCGGGGAAATAGACTGCGGTCCCCATTAAATAGAAGGCTAGGTATATAGTTTTAACAGATTTTTTTTCATACTGTTCCAACAGGGAAGCAAGAACTCGATTTTCAGTCCGTCACCAAAGTCGGGGTAGGTGCTCGATCCCTACAGTTTTCCATATTTCTTTTTTAATATTCGCCAGCTGTCACTACCATTGCTGAAAGAATCACTATACAATATGACAATATTTTATAGCAGTGCCACCCTGACAAAATGGTAATCATGAACCAATCTTGTATGCAACCGGCAACACTGTGTAAGATTGGTAGGATTGATCTATATTGGTAAATTTCCTTTGTCAATCCTGCCAATATCAAATACAATTCTCGCCTGTGGTTTTAAACCCCTGCCAGATTATTGTTTGATTCATTTCTGCCAACATCAAATTCGGAGTCACATGACGGACAGGAAATGACGACTTTTAAAAATCTCCCATAGTTGAAAAGCACAACACAGATATTAGCAATGATGGACGTAAATAGAACGTAAGTTTACGACGTAAGAAGTCATGGGTGATTCAGAAATGTTGCAGAATTAATTATGGCATTTTTGTGACAGATATGTTGTGCAAATGTTTACGGTGTTTTTCCAAAGTACGGGATACTTGCAAAAGGTACGCTTCTAGGAATAAGGATTGAGTTTCATTATTTATTCCATTGTTTTATTACGCATTAGGCACCATAACCCAATAAATTAATAAGGTCAAATATATTAAGTATTTTGCCAGTTCAAGATGTTTCGTGAACTTTTTTTATTCCAGATGTCATTTTTTCTCTATAGGACATCTTAAATGGAGAATAATCCTACAGACAACAGCAATGAATCTGATATATCAGATTCTTGGTCAATACTAGGATCAGATTCCTGTGAACCACAAGACATACCGGTTGATAGCTCTGTTATAGATGGAGATAGTATTAGTGGAGAACCCAGTGATGGAGAATCACTTGAAGTTATAGATGAAGAAGAAAAGGACCAAGATGAATGTAAGTAATAATGAATATGTAACACCTCTATTGAACTTATGTTGTCACGTTCCACCTTGTATTCTGTTTTCTTTATAGACAGGGAAGCTGACATGGAAACAGATGGCATTTCCATCATAACTGAAAGTGATGGAACTAATGAGTTGGAGCAAACTCTTTCTTTGGTTGAGTCCAAAGAAAAGAAGTATATGCATCATCCAAATACGTACCTAAACACCCGCCTCAATGTGCTGTTGGTAATCTCATTTGCAGCTGTAACTGGTCTTGGTATAGGACACTTCCTAGGTAATTCTGAAGACTCATTTGTATATGTTCTGGTAATTTTATGGTTTTTATTTATGGCCATATTTGAGGGGGAGTTATTTACAGTTTTGCCTGCCACCACACTCATTATATGTTGCCAAATGTAAGAAACTTGTGTTCATGCACATTGAGTGCATCCTGACCCTCACCTACATCCCTACCATCTGCCTAGTTGGCAGAATTTTTGCTCTTGCTTCTTCACCTCTGTGATCTATGGGCACCAGCTTTCATGTCCATCAACTGTTAGGTACATTACAGACATGGCTAAGGGAGATAAACACAGTTTCACATGAAGATTTCTGTGTTCTTGAATATAATCCCTTGTAGTCCAGTGAAAATCTGTGCTTGCTGACTGCTTCATGCAGGTTTCTTGCTTGGCTTACCTTCTACACTGAAGATGTAGGCGACATGTTCCTCCAAACTGTCAATTTGCTTTCAACTGACCACACAGTGTTATATATTAAAGGTGGAACTCTTTGTAACTACCTGTTAGAACCTAAAATCCATGATTTACTGATAACATACCTCTTTGAAAAGCTAGAACTAATATATTTACACAGTTAATTGTATATATTCCATAAAATACAAGTTGACTCTGGTTATCTGGCTAATATAGGTTTGTATAGAGTGCCAGTGGCATCACATAATTTGTATTTTTATGTCAAAATGTTCGTCTTCTTTGGAATCTACTGTTTGAAAACTACTACTGCTTCAAAGAGAACAATAGCTTTGTTGGCTGCCAGATGTTTAGAAAGGTTGCAAAATTTTGAAAATGCCTTATTCAGAATTTCACATACAGTTCATATTTTCCACAGTCTGTCATAATTTTTGTCTGTCTTGCCAGTTTCATTCCTGTTGACTAGCAAGTGTAAGAAGTGAAGGATGTATAGGAATCTGTCTTGTTTTAACATGTTGCTGTAGAAAGGCATGTAGAAGTGATTGATTGTTGCCCAGTAGACTGACAGTTGATCTCATATGCATTGTCCCATTGGTATTGTTATAACCAGGAAGAGAAACATTTTATATATATGATTACAACTCACGCAGCCAAAGGACACATCACAAGACACAGTATACACAAAATATAGGAAGAACGACTCCCATAGTGGAAGAATAATATAATACGTGAGTTTGAAATAAGACGTATAAGATGATAAATCTTAACAAATTTTATTATAGTACATGAAGAATATAAACTTTAAATCATTTTATAAACGACACATGATGGCGAGCAGTGCAATAGTTTAACGTAAATAACACACCTGAGGATGGCACAGTGATGCCAAAACATGTAGTGATGTGACATGTGAGATTGTGTGCACTAGAAGACGGCCAATACATACATATCATGGACAAGAATCAGTTCAACAGGACACTAAAATACATCATCATGGCCTACCTCATAATGCATGACAGGTTAGGTTTTCACAAAGTCTGTGCACGATGGGTGCCATGCATGCTGACCCCACATATTTATAATTACAGTTTATATGTCAGACTTTTCTTTGTTCAGTGTTTGCTGTTCAAGTAAAAATTGTCCTACAAGTATTATGTTTATGGACATTATCCATCGTCTTGTCTGTTTTTAAAAAAAATGTCCTGTTTCCTTATCAAAATACAGTGTTTTGGAGACTGGATTCTGTCCCCATCCTCAGGTGAAACCTACTCAGTTGTGTCCAATAGATGGAGCTAGCCCCTATCTCTGGACACAATTGTCCTTCTGCTAGGTGCATTTCAGCTACTAATGTTATTTGCAGGGGTAGTGATATATTTGGAACAGAACTGTTTTTCATAATTATATTTTATAATGGTACTTTTTATTACAATATTAATTTTACTCTGAATGTATGTGTGTGTGTGTGTATTCTCTCACGACACAATGGCTGGCACAGCTGAATTTTTGTTATCGTCTAAATGACACTAGTTGACATCTTCTGTTGTTTGTATTTGTTTCTTTGTTTCCTTCTTTATTCTTACTTATTTTATAATTGGCCTTTGAGCTGTTTTGGAAGCATGTAAATAAATAATAATTGACTTGAATGTACGTACTTATGTACAACTTGTCGATTTCAGGATTACAAGAGGAATGCCCTTTGTTGAATGAATCAGTTACATCACTGCTAACAAAGCTGCAGCATGATAATCAGTTGCTTCGATATAAAATAGAAAAACTTCTGAGTGAGAAAGATGCTGCATCTTATTCATTCCAAAATATTCAATCCTGGGAAGCAGATACAAAATTCAGAGCTGAAGGTATATTACACTTGCAGCCATCTTTACAAGCAGGTATTCTTAAACAGCCCTTGAACTTGGAAATTGCTGGTCTTCCTGGGAATAAGATAGGCTCTCAACAATACATGGCAGATAACAGAAATCAGTATGAGGGTGAAGTCAGGAATATTGCAAAGCAGTCTTCTGAAGGAAGGGTTCAGTCTGGGGAACATTCAGGGTATGTAACACCAATAAAATTTGAAGATGAAAATGTTGCAAAAAAGCAATCTGATGGGCAAGCAGGAAGTGTCACTTTTGACCTAAATTCAGAATATGTAATATTAGCAGACCATGAAGATGCAGTACTGGATGTTGAAAGAAACAGGGTTGCTGATTTTACTGATGATGTGATATTTGTGCAGTTCAGAGATAATGATGGTGTTATCAAGTCCTCTGCTGAATTGAACAATGAAGCGAATGTTGCAGGATCTTCTGTTCATATTAAGGAACATGAAACTGTTGCAGATTTCCCCTTTCTGATGAATGCTGAAAGAGATTTTTCAGATTCTGCTGTTAAGGATGACCAAGTTGCACAGCCGCCTGTTCGAGTAAAGAATAAAGTGTTTGCACTTCCTGAAAAAGATGATTTCTTGGATCATACAGTGAACATACATCCTTCTGTAGGATACAGCAGTGAAGGACCAAATAGAAATGTTGACGCTCTGCAAGCAGAAGTGACACACAAAACATATGACTGGGAAGAAAATAATATGGAGATAATTAAATCAACTGTTAAACTTCTGCAGGCACAGTTTAATGACGTATTGTCACATGACGCTGAAAGTGTTTTGCCTTCCTCTGTTGCTTTGGTTGCAGAAATTGAACAGAGTTTGTTTCATCTTCAGGACTCCATCTCTCAATGTGAAGTACAAAGAAGCGACTTCTGTGCACAGTTGCAAGAGAGAATGAAAGTGTCAGTTGTTAAGCTGAAGGAGATGACAGAGAGACTTGTGGATGACATAGATGAACAGCTGTACAAATTGTTATCCAGAATTACGCGAAAGTTGAAAAAGTTTAAAAGAAATCTGCAAGACAAGTGGTGCCATTTGGCACATCAACATGATTCTAAAAATGATGCAATATACGGTTGGCTTCATAGTTCATTATTATTAGAATGTAAAGAAAGTCAGAGGCAAACCAAAAGGAAATTCAGAGAGTTCTCTTCTGAAGAACCCAGTAAATTAAGTGAAATGTTTGTAATGGGTACCTCAGATGAGAAAGTTAAAGGAATGGATGAACCTAACATTTTTAAAATTCAAAACATGGAGGAAGAATGTAATGGTATTAAAAATGGTGACTCAAATACTGCATCAGAAGAAGGCCAAAGAAGTGGTATCCAATATACAGTGACACAGACTGAATATGTAATGCAGTCCCATATCAATAAGGAGCTTGCACCTGATAAAGTTATTATGATCCATGACAATTTAAATGAAGAGCATTTTAAAATGAACACAGTTCCTAAAGCATTTGAGAAATCCAATGGTGAAGAGCAATACATGTCAGAATTACATAAAAATTGGAAACATGACAACCAAGGCACATTCAAGAATCATTTTAATGAAGAAGAGAAAAATAAACCTGAAAATAAGGACAAAAATGTACCTCTAGCAAAAACGTGTTGGCAGACACATAATGGTAAAACAGTTTGTAAAAAGTTTAAAAATAATCAGCAGTTTTTGCGTTCACAGAAATTCAAGGAGCAGCATGTCACGCAGAGCCTTAGAGATAATCATTCACATGAGAAAAAAAACTTGAAGAGCCAGTTTAATGATAAAGACAAGAAAGCGCCTAAAAAACTACAAACCAAACGTAGATGGCAAGATGAAAACAAACACCACAAACAGTCTTTGATCTTGGAACAGGGTGCTTCTTGGGTTATGGTTGACACTAGCATCCCAAAACAAAGTAATATATCAGGTGATTGGGTATTAAAAATGGCAGACAGCCGTGCAGAGCATCGTAGGTTGGAGCACAAAAGTGATTGGCTCTTTGATCGAGCTGATGCGCGCAAATTGAAAAGGGAAAAGCAACATATAACAGGTAATTGGTATTTTGAAAGAGCACGTGGCCGTGTGGACTGTCACTTCCATCCACATTCCAAATGGTGCAAAACTGGAACCTACAGTGGCCCAGACTTTAATTGGTATTTTGAAAGAGCACGTGGCCGTGCATACTGTCGCTTCCATCCACATTCCAGCTGGTGCAAAACTGGAACCAGCAGTGGGCCAAACTTTGATGGGCTTCATCAGAGTGACTATGAAAATGACTACAGTTATAGTGACAGATCTCATCGTGCTGCCCATTGGTCTAAAAAATTCAAACTTCACTTATCTGCTGCTGCAGGAAAATTTTTTAAACGTTCTTTTTCACATTTTCAAAACAAAATGAATTATCACAACCATCATTAAATAATGTGCTTCATTTACTCTTATTAAGTTGACGTTTTAAATTTATGCAAAATTAGACGTATAAAGTGTGACTTTATTAAAAAAAAATAAGTTATTGTAAAAACCTGTATTTAATTCAACTGCTGGTGCAGGAATTTAAAAATAACTGTAACCAGTGTGATTTTAAATGTTTCTAACCATATTAACAGTGACATACCTTTCATTGTTTTATTGAGTCTATAGATAGTATGAAAAAATACTTTAATGTTCCTAAGTATATTTATTTTATAACATTTACAGTGTTGTAGCATATTATTTTATGTGACTATGATATTTTTGTGTACCTCTTCACCTTCATCTTACTGTTGTTTTATGGGTGTACCCAGTATAGAAAACCATTCTCTCTGTGTGTGTTTGATATCCACCATATCTAGTGGCTTGACATACCAGTAGTTCTAGACTCAGGAGGTGCTTGGTTTGAATGTCAGCTGGGACAACATCTTTCCTGATTGAGATTTTTAGTCTGTCCAAGAAAATGCATGAATAGTACCTCAATTAGGCCATGACTGCTTCCTTGCAGATCCTTTCCAATTCATCGTTTATAAGTCATCATACCATTTAATGCTGTATAGTCTGAGCTACTGACAGTGGCATAAAGTGACCCACAAAAGGAAAGATGTCCCCTGTGAATAATGTCCATCCAGCATACCAGTTTTCATATTAAATTCATCTAATGTGTAACGGTGTATAGTACTAAACTGTGCTAATATGGTTGATAAAATTTCAGCTTGAATTTGTTAATATCAATGTGTTGTTTGTACCTGCAATTGTAAAATTATGGTTACCTGCAGTGTGTTCATACCTAAGATTTTGAGTGGAGTGTGAAATACTTCATTCTGAATTATGCAGCAAATAAAATAAGTTTAAATAAATTTGATAATTGCACACAAATTTGCAGAGGTTAATTGAAATGGTGGAGCATGGTAATTTTAAAGAAGAACCCGGGTAAAGTTTGGATACTAATAAAATACATGATATTGTTTGTAGAAGTTGTAGATGCCTTTATAGTGTGCTTTGATTGTTCCAGTTTTTTAGGCCTTATTTCCCATGAATTCTTCACCATTAGTTAATTTGTGCACAGTAATGCCCTTGAAAAGTTCCATTTTTGTGACAGTACATGCCTGAGTTAAATGTATTTTTGTATCCTCTGTAATTTGGTCAGATATACAAGTTCCATGTTCACTATTAGGGGGCAACTTTGTCATTTTGGGACTGGATACCAAATGAGCTTTTATCTGTTGTAGAGTCTTTTGTATTTGAAGGATGAAAGTCATAATAAAATAAAAAAATCACGTTTGTTGTGCTTCATTCTTCTTTTACAGTTTTTGATAGGCCAGTGCATGTTCCCTGAAGACATGAAAAAACTGGAAGAAACTAAGTATATGTTTATATCTTGTCACCAGAATGCAGGACAAAACCGTGATGGACAGCTAATAAATCCTTTGAATAATGGCAAAGTTAGGTACTTGAGAATGACACCAATGAATGAAAATTGCTTTTATGAAGAAATGAGAGCAGGGTAAGTGTAGTGAATGTTTGATGCCATTCAGTTCAGAATCTTTTGCCTTTCCATTTACAGTCTGAAAATGTAAAAATTTAAATATTGTATAACTAATTTATCTGTTGTTTTGCTTAGTGTAGTGTGTCACATTAAGGGAAGCATACAGAGGGTGTTTTAGAAAACAGTCTGCTGATCTAAGAGAGAGGTAATAACAGGAGGGTGAAGAGAGATGCAAATGCCACACATGAGAGAGTGAATTTATGCATACAGAATTTTGGCTAGTAAAATCTGAGGTTTAGAAGACCAAGGTGTAGATGGTAAGATAATATTAAAAATATCTTGAAAGAAACATGATGGAAGGGTATTGACTGCATTTGAATGGTTTAAAACAGAAACCAGTGGCAAGCTGTTGTGAATTTCACAACTAGCTCAGCAGCTATTAGCTTCTCAAGAAGGACTCTGCTCTCTAGACTTAATTTATTAGGAACACAATCTTGCTTTGAAGGAAATTGAACTTGTGTATATTTGGAGAATGGTGATGTCATTTCTAACTTCAGATTATTGTGCATATCAGTGTGAGATTAAAATGTATCATGCTCATGCTTTCTTAGTTTTCTAATCATATTAGTATGCTATGGGAACTAGGATAGCTCATTTTATCCAATGGATATGAAGAAGTTTCCCCAGGGGTAAAGCAGCCGCAGCATGAAGGTGATCACTCAACAGCGTCTACTGCATAGGGCAAGAATGATGAAGCCACAGTTCCATTTGCATATGTCTTTTTATGGTTTGGTGCCAAGGATAACTTCAGCTTTTTATTAGTATGCTGTGGCTCATGTAAAGAGGGATGGATGGTTTCCAGTGGCTGCATTTGGGATCATTTAACCCATTTTGCATTTTGCTTCCCAATAGAGAGCACTCAAGTTCTTGCTTTGTTGCATCTTGAAGAAGTGTGCACTTTTCTTTTGGGAAGCTTTGCCAGGTTTGTTGCGCATTTTGCTCTACCCAGGGGACTTAAAGAATGTCACGGATGCAAGCAACTTTGTCCCCCTCATGTAAAGAGGTTTCAAAAGGGATTTTTGTGGAAATCTGTAACAGCCTAGGGATAGGATTGTAAATGTGTTTTCAACATACTTCATTATCCTTATGTTGGTGGGGAAATAAAACATGTTTACAAAGTTCTTTTCCATAGGGTTGCCTCACGGGTTATGATGTACCCTGTTTTATACAGTATATAGGCTTTAGTTTTCTTAGTGAAGAAACAGGAAGCTATCAGAATAGTGACGGGTGAACCTTTGATGTTCTAGTTTGATTCTACATTGCAATGCTTTAGTATTACCAAATTGATAGTGAGGGTGTGGTTAGGCTACACAGAATTTGAATTTTCCAGAAGTTTTGTAAAATTATATTTCAAAAGACAGGAGAGACATGTCCCAAAATTTGAAGAATTTGGTTTGGAAGTGGTTGAATTAGTGCTTTGCTTAGGGTTTTAGTGGGACACAGTGGTTAGATTGGAACTGCAATAGCTCAATGAGTATAGCACCTGGGCTGTGTGGCGGATAACTGAGGTTTGATTCCCAACGGGGTACGTTGCTTTGATTATACGTAGTTTGGACAGTAAATTGTGTTTGGCAAATCAAAGTGCTGCACAGGAGATGACATTCTCACCAACACAGCTTGGCTGGTATTCATACAACACTGATCACCTACATCAGTGATTCCCAAGTAAATTTAATCTGACACTCCCTTGGTGTGAATAAAGAAGTTTGGGGGCTTCCAAGCTATAGGAAGTGACATCAAATTTTGATAGAAATTTTAAAATATGGTTACCTTTTGATTAAATTGATAATTTGTGAATTTTTTTTTCTATTATATTTGTGTTTGTAATTTAGATCCAGAATAGCTGATTCAGTATAGGGATTGGCTAGAGGCTGGATGTCTGGGGTTTGATTGCCAGCAAGGGAATTTTTTTTCTCTTCTCCACAGGGCCCAGACACTGGGGCCCACCAAACCTCAATACAATGGGTGCCAGTGGTAAATTGGCTGGGTCATGATGCTGACCAGCCACCTCCAACTAGTTCTGAGTTCAAGAATCCATACCTCTTTGTGACTTGATGCTTAATTAAGCACAAGGACAACTTTACCTGAATGTCTGAAATTTAACTACTTTTTAGGATTAAAATTAAATCAACATCGTCATTACTGGGTTTTTATTCACAGTCCATGGAAAGAAACATCATGTACCTCAGAGGACCTTGGCTTCCTCTTTGGGAAATGCTAACCAGCATGGTCTGTTGATGCCACTATCTGCTGTGAGGGTGCTGTAAGATAACTGAAGTAAACATGTTTTCCTGTGTCCAGAATTTTCCACTTTTGCTTTGACATTTGTAACAGTTTAGCTATAAGTTTTAGGATTATAATTAGTGAATTGTCTTTAAAAGAACACTGTCAAATATAAACTTTTACAGAGTAGGTAATTCCTGCATGAAGTTACAGGCCCTACTCTTTCTAATGTATACTGTAAACAGTGAATACAGCTGCACAACCTCATCAGTCTATAAAAAAAATGTGCCAGCTTTCTTCCTTTGGATTCATTATATTCCTACCATATCCTTTCCGAATTATTCATCTAGCCATTGTCCAACACTTGTAGTCCAGCTACAGAAAATGTCGTTAAATAACCCACATATAAGTAAGTGGCATCTCATTATTTTGGTTTATACATGTACCTATGTCTTCATTTCCATTAGGGCAGGGGCTGAGAATATGATTAAAAAAAGTAAAGCTATCCCTCTAACAGGCTGTGGAGGCCCATAGGGTTGTGAAATGTGGAGGTTCCCACATTTTTCTAGATGAGTGGCTCATAGATTGCAAGGTTGTCAGCCCTATGTGCTGGCCGCCCTTTACCCCCAAGAATATTCCTGGTACTCATTTGTGTTAGAGGCTGAGTCGACCCCAGGGCCATAGTGCGGCTGAAGGATTAGATCAATTTAAAAAAATTCAGTGACCTCATCGGGACTTGAACCCGCGACCTTCCAGCTTGTAGCATAGTGCCTCAACCAACTACGCTACCTATATGCCCCCTGAGAGTATGATGTGGAAGAAAAAAACTTTCTTTACCTTGTTTATTCTATATATTACCATGAAGGTATGAACACAATTGAAGTAACCCAATAGAAATGCCAAAAGAAAGCCAATAGATCGTAATTTTGTTTCAGTTGTATTGGTTCACATTTTAAAGCAACATAAAAGAGTCTAGTAGGAAAAAGAGAAACGCTTAGACAAATGCAGAGCACTTGCATGGTTACTTGACTAAAAAATATAAGCAGTATGAAATTTATACTGCTTGCTAAAATGTGTCAAGTATTTTTGTGTGGTGTGTGATCAGATGGTGGTACAGTTCTTGCCAAATCTTGCAAAGCATGTCCTTATCAACTTACTTGCAGAATCTTCAGCATCTTACAGTGCTGTTTGAGACACTACACAACATCCTTCACGATGCTTTGTAATTAAAAGTACAAAAGGGGATAAGTGAAATAACGTTGCTGGCCATAGTATTAGTCAACTATACGACCACTTCATTTGCCATGAAAAATTCATTAAGCACATGAATTATTAAAGATATTAAAGTATGCAGTAGGTTAAAAAATTGAAGACGTATCAAACTCAGGCTTAAAAGTAAAGTTACTGTGCGTGATTGAGCACTGCGATATGAAGACGTAAAGGGGAGTGGATGTATAAATCCACACATTCGTAGAATCGGTATTAGACGGAGGTGAGTGAATGGTCAGTTTCACGCCCCAACCGCTTTACCCGCAGGGAAAGAGCCCCTGGTACCCGTTGTGTAGGAGACTTTTTGGTCTCCAGAGCCGTCTTTGTGCATATTAGATACATTCTCGCCGATCCTTTGTTCGTAGTTTTTGTAAAAGCAATGCAGAACTTATTTATGTATCGTTTATTTAACAATGTTAGTAGCTGAGACTATAGCATCCGGTGCTGATTAATGAATGAATATTAAAGAATGCAGACGGAAACAGTCGTGACCTAATTTAAGACACTATCTGCATTTGCCTCTTGAGATTGAGGGAAACCATGAAAAACCTCAGTGAGGGTAACGGGTCTCTGGGCTGAAATTTGAACGCGGAGCCCCCGAATTGGAACCAAGGATGTTATCCGGCTGCGGCGTTCTGTTTGAAGTTACTAAGTTTATAATACTGAATACATTATTATGTCCGTTGCAATTTACACCTTGGGGTGCCGGAATTCAATTCCCTGGCCCAGCCCCGGCACCTCTCTTACATTTCTATTCCTGTAATATAGAACTCATCTATTATACACTAACATTTAATCTAAATTTATTTCTGTACCCCTCTCGTGCTTTCTTACCATCGTCTCTCATTTCTTTTTGTATTTAATCCAGTATTTCTATTTCATGACTTTTTTCTTTATGCTTGCGTCTTAGTGTGCTTCCTGAACCTATGTCCAAAACCAGGTTCCAGCCCTCTTCGTTGCTACGTATTGGGCAAATGTCCCATTTATTGTTTCTTTGAACTCCTGCTTTCCACCACTGGGTTCGTAATTAACATGTACACGAAACGGGACATATCTATAAAAGTGCAATCATTTTATTAGCTTACAGAAAAGACAGTGCATACAAGATTTATCTCCTAAAAGAAATATGACATAAGTAATATAAAAATATTCATTAAGATTCACTATAGTACGGCCTATTCAAATAACGCGATACCGTGTTATATAGAGGTTCCTTCCTAAATGTATTTATATTAAAACGACCTCTAACAACACGCGTTACATTCCGCGCTACTGAAGCGTACGTTCCAAATACATACCCCACAAATGTAACAATTATCAATGAAAGCTAAATCAATCGTTTGTTCACATTTTAATCCTAGATGTCCTCTTCCGAGTCACAGGAATCATAACTATAAAAACACGTCAGAATATTTAAAGAAGGCATGTTCCTTTGAAGATCCCTTGCAATGTTATATACATCACTATGTTTAATACTGAATTCCTTCAAATGTGGAAACAGAGCTGGAATTTGATAACAGTTTTCCTCTTTAAAATGAAAACCATCCATCCGTAAAGCCTGCAGGTCTCTGCATGTCTGCAAAGTATTCAGAATGCCGTCCGTCATGTTCTCGCAATAAGATACATCAAGAAACTGCAAATTCTGACATCCATATGCCACATATTCGATACATTTATCGGTCAAATTTATGTTATCAGAAATATCAAGGTGTATTAACAATTTGCATAAAGAAATGTCTACGAGATTTTCATCAACAAATGCACTGTCTTGGAGATTTAGATGCCTGAGGTTTATAGAAATAGACGTCAGTCTGAATAAGGCTCCACCACTGCCCACAATTTCCAATTTAAATAAACGAGGAAATAGACAACTTTCTTTAAAACCTATAATGCACCTTTGTAGACAGTGCAATTGTAGACTTTCTAAATGGTTTAGAGCTCGTAGATGATATATATTGATTTCATCTGTGGTTTGCAAATCTTCGCAAGAAACAAAGAGATACCTTAGGTTCGTACAGTTACAGATCGTGCTGAATATATTTGACGTCAAATTGCAAGCAATTCCTAATGTTTCCAAATGCTGCATCCTCTCAACCATCATTTTTCGAATACCCTCTTCAGAATCTGGAAGACAAACTACTGAAGGGTTCATTTCAATCGTATACAAATGCGAGCTCCACCTATTGAGCATCGTAAGTGTGGTGTCAGTATTGAAATTTCCATAAAATTTTGCAAAATCAATGTTAAACTGTGAACCTGGAATAACGACATCCAAGCATTCGATTTGGGGGACAAAACACATCAGCTCTTCCACTCTTGGTTTGCTAGGTCCACGTTTCCATTCCATAACTATACGTCGGATGTGTTTACAATGCAGAATTATGGCGGTCATGATAACGTCGACATATTTTGCGCGGCGCAGTCGGAACGACCTCAGTTCTGGCATGTTCTGGAGGTGCTGTATGATGTCTGCTTCTGTCAGGTGGGGAGGAGGTGTAAAGGTGATGTCCTTCCATAGCATTGGGCTTTTTGAGAGCACGTTCCAGCGAAAGTCGATGTAAGGGATGGTCATGGCCAAGTCCTCTGCATTCAAATATGAGAATATCTTTAACAAGACAACATCCGGCATGTCAATCAGCGCTGTCGTTCCAACCTGCAACATTTACATATGCACTGAAAATTTGATAAATTACAATAGTAATTAGTTATTAGGGCTTGTCAATTTTAAATCGTTAGATCCTGTGTTATTTGAAACGTAGAAACGAGTTGCTTTTAGAGTAGCTTAAATATATAAACACGTGGAAAATTTCGTGTAAATGTTGCTTCGAGAAACTGAACTCAATCACATATCCGAATTCAACGACATAGTCCTATTACTGTATGCTGCAATAAAATTTGTTAAAATAATATATTCACTACCACAGTGACGTGTCTGAAGGCCCGAACGCTGCTAAAGACTTAAATCTGTAAAATATTATGGATAATCCTAAAGCCATCTTGCTGCCCTTTGTTGCATTTTTATGGTTGTGATTAAGATTATATGACTTACTCATGGAGCTGAGCCCTTCTGGAGAAGCCGCCAATTCTGCAGCTACTCAAGAATTTCCGAACATTTTATGGAACCGAAGGTTAGTTACCGTGTTCACAAGAGCCCTCCACTGGTCCATATCCTGAGCCAGATTAATCCAATCAATACTATCTCTTTAAGATCCATTTTAATATTGTCCACCCACCTACGCCTTGGTCTTCCCGGTGGTCTCTTTCCTTCTGGCTTTCCCACCAATACCCTATACGCATTCCTCGTCTCCCTCGTTCGTGCTACATGCCCTGCCCACCTCATCCCCCTTGACTTGATCCTTCTAATTTTACATGGAGAAGAGTACAAGTTATGAAGCTCCTCATTATGAAGTTTTCTCGAACCTCCTGTCATTTCATCTCTCTTCGGTCCAAATATTCTCAACACCAAGATTATATGACACATTTTTTAATATGTATGGCCACATCTGGGTTCCCTGAAGGCAGAACGGAGCCCCCCGGGGCGCGAACCCAGGACGCAGTTGGTCCCCACCCACATGTCCTTCAATATATTATTGCTTAGTTTGCTTGGGTCTACTTTTTTTTTCTTCGAAACGTTTAATTTATTTTGATCTATTCACTTAAGTATTCCTAAAAAACCTTACTTTCATTAACTTAGTCCAACATTTTACCCTTCGTCAGTGATTAAACGCAAAGTATAAGTAGGCAAATACTCTCGACTAATTTTTAACTAAATATTTAAGGCAGGTTTCCACTTTTAGCTTGTGTTCAGTTTAAATTTCCTCACGAAACAGGCATACTTGAAACGCTTACCGGCCATATAGACATCTCCACATCTGTGTCCTCCATCGAACTAAATTGACTTGTGTAAGTCAACCCCGTCTAACTTCGGCAGCGGACAGCTTCAGAGTGATGTTGTGTTTGTATATGCACAGTGTAGATCAGTGTGGGTGGTGTAGGTCGAAGTGTGTACAATTATCGATACGCCGAAGAATACTCTTGCTTTCCTCACTGCCTCGAAACCTGTCTGGTTGATGGATTAAATATCGTTTAAACATTTCCCTGCAGTGTGATTTCGTTATCCATTTAAATTTATGCATGCTTTTGGCCTGGTACTTTATTTATTAATTTTCCTTTGCGTATGAGGTATGTGATAACAAAAAAGTATTTAATTAGCATGCTGGTATGTTATTGAAGTTTAAGAATAGTTTGGCTTCCCCAGAACCTTTGTAACTCCCCGTTTAACCTTCCTGTCACTGTCAAGGATTCGGTTACTTCAATCATGGATTTGCCTACGTTATTACAATCTTTAACTTAGTGTTCATGAGAAGACTGTTGTAAACAACTTTAACAGTTGGGCTGACTTTAAATCCATCCCCCAAATCAGAAATTTAATTTTTGACTACTGCTATTATTACAATTGTGAGCCGGGATAGCGCAGTCGGTATAGCGACTAGCTACGGGCTGGACGACTAAAGGGTCGGAATTCGAGTCCCGATAGGGTCAAGAATTTTCTCGCCTCCACGTCGTCCAGCCCGGCTCTTGGGTCCACCCAACCTCCTATCCAATGGGTATCGGGGGCTCTTTCCCCGGGGTTAAAGCGGTCGGGGCGTGAAGCTGACTACAAACCTCCAACTAATGCCGAGCTCAAGAAAATGTGGATCTATACATCCACTCCTCCATACCTTCATGGCGTCGTCCTTAATTAGTTAAGCACAGGGACAACTTTACCTTTACTATTATTACAATTACTACAACCACTACCAATAATACTGTTGCTACCTACACGCTACAACTACCCCCACTATTACTAGGCGTCCTGCCTACTACTACTACTACTACTACTGATGCTGCTACTACTACTACTACTACTACTACTACTGAGAATTTTTTAAAAAAATAAAAGTTCTTCCGCATTCTTATGTAATCTAGTCACAATATTCCGATAATTTTTATAAAATGCGGCGAAATCTGCACATAATTTGAATAAAAATTTGTTTTTGTAATATTCCAGTTATGAGGATAGTCTTATTATGGCTGTAAGATCTGAGTTTAGCATAATTAATCGATCTTAATACGAAAAGATCTTCAAGAGTTTATTTCATTACAATTCTAGATAAAATACAACTGTTTCTCATGCAAAATGTATCAGTATATTCTGGAAAAAATGCAACTCTTTCTCACACAAAATGTATCAGTATAGGTACTACAACCGTGAATCTAATCTTTTATGACACTTTTACTTTGCTATTATCATAGTCGTCGTGTTTGTCTCAAAAATTGAACGTATAATTAAGCACAAATATTTTTATTGATTTGTAAAAGCATT